CACCCACAGGAATATATCCAGCCAGCTGGAGAGTCCCTGCAACTTCCTGGTATTGGGTAAAAAAAGAAAAGCAAATGTACGATAGAGGCCAGATATTTACTCAATGATTCAAGTTGTTAGGAGGAAAGAAGAGAAAAGAAAAGAAGATTAAGAACAAAAAGTGAATACCATCAATCTCTCCTAACACGCCGTACAAAGTCTATATGAATCAACGGCCCCCATCTTCCTCTTCCCGTCTCCTGCCTGTCTCTTCACCAACTCACAAAAGAAAAGGAGAGGAAAAGACATTTCACACCTTTTCAACATATACGGCATATGCATACATACCTCTCCTTTGCAGCTCCTGACAAGAAGGGAAAAACAGCTCGCTTGGACCCCAAACTCCACACAGGCCCATCCCCACAACACGCGCCCCCCTGCACCCGCTACGCCGTCAAAGAGTATATCTAGTCCTGGTTCAGTATCCGACTTTGCTTATACTATTCTCCTACTTTGCTATACCTTCTCTCTCTCTTCTCTCTTCCTTCTCTAACCATTCTACCACGATGGACTCTTTTGTAAGTCATCCTCCTCGTCCTCGTCCTCCTCAACCTCCTCAACCACAACCGACACTGACCAACAAACCGAAAAAGACCCTCTTCCCCCAACTCCCCCCCGAGATCCGTCTCAGGATATGGGACCTGACCCTCCCCTCGTCGCGCCTGATCCCTATCCGCTGCGGCTACGATCCATCCCCGTCCAGCACGTCCGTCGGTCCGGGCTGCTTCTCCCCGGCCTCTATCCCGCCCAGCCTCCAGGCCTGCATAGAGTCGCGCCAGCACGCCCTGTCCACTCGATACACCCACTCCCTCTCCATGGCCCGGTCCCCCGCCCGCGTCCTGCTCGATCACGAGTCCGATGTCCTGTACTTCCCCCCGAAGGAGGGCTACATGGCCGCCTCTGCCGAGTTCCACACCTTCTTGTCCCTGTGCAATCAGACCGACCTGGCTCGTCTGCGTCGCATCGCCCTCCACGAGTCTCTATTCTCCTGCACACCGTCTACTTCTTCCTCCTCTCGTCCTGCTTCTTCCTCTTTATCGGCAGGGTCGCAACCACCTAGTTATAGGAGTGGACTGGCTGTCGGGTTGACAGTCGAGTGTCTCGCCCGTATTAGGGATCGCATGCCCGCCATTGAGCAGATCATCTTTGTATGCGCTTCGCATGAAGATGGCGGGGATGACGATGCGCCAGCTCGTCTTAGGGCTCAGATTCATACCGCTATGTCTGATCTGGCTGCTTCGTCGGGGGGAAAGTGGACGCCCCCTATATGGACTATTGTTGCTGAGCCTTGAGGTGTCTTCGAAAGAACACACACACACACACACACACACGCCTCTTCTCCTTTCAACATCTTATCCTGTATCATTATACACTTACATGTTCAGCATCCCTTTCCTTCGAGGAGAGCCAGCGTTGCGTCTTCTCTGCTTTTAATGCGTTTCCTCTTGGGATTGGGATATACTCCAAGGATGGTCTATGGAGTATCACCTTTTTATTCTCTTCTTTTTGGAATCATTTGAGGAATGCTCTAATCGCCGGTTCATTCGTCTACTATTCATGACTCGGTAATCGTCTTCTTGATGGAGTTGTTTTTCTTTTCCGTGCGCTGGCCTTCCCCCCTTCATGTCAGAATGGTTTACCGACGGGGTCTTTTCTTTACTGTCTTGTCCTGTTTCTCTTCCTTACACTTATTTGCTTCTGGGAACTGGTTTACCTACTGTCTCTTATGATTTGGCGGATATAGCGTGGCGTATAGGTTTGCCCCTTTTTATATATACGGTCCTTTTTATTGCTGGTTACGTTCAACAACGCGCGTAGATAGTGGACCCTCACACAGGTAAATTAGCCTCCTCAAATAAAGGACCGCAGCGGTTGTGATGATCTGGTTCTTGTTATTCTATCTATCCCATGATGCTATAATAAGAAGTGAGATCGTGATATTTGTTAGTGGCCTGAGGCAACGACCCCGGCGTCGGAATAATCATTCTCCATACGTCATTTGGCGTTTGTGCAAACAATAGCAAACGTCTATATATTTGTACTACTTGACACTTCAGCCTTCATAGCCATGGTTCCTTGAATTGACATATGTCCCTTTCTTTACCGCATATTCTCTCTTCTTGTTTTCTTTCTTCTACTTCTACTTGTATTGTGTCGTATTGTGTTGTTTTGTTTCAAATGTGCGCTTAAATCTAACATGTAGCTTCGATATATCAACATCTCGTCACACCCACTGGACAGACACATACACATACACAACTGCCTATACCCCCTTCCTCCAGCTACTTCCTGGAACCATCCACCGCAGCAGCACCGCTGACCCCGATCCCCTTGCGCCTTCCCCTTACCAACGCCCGAAGCGCCTTCCCCACGGCAGCCATGTCTCCGAGCATCGTAATGTGTCCCCTGTCAGTGTGCACTCTCCCGCCTTTCACGACAGAGTACCCCTCCGGTAGCATGGACTCCTTGGCTAGCACGACACCGTCACCCGCACGGAACACCAGGTCGTCGTATGCGTCTGCGCACGGTATGCCCTCTCGCCCATTTACCTGCGCCGCGTACACTGTCGGCGTCGTCTTGCTGTATAACACCGCGAACGGTGGGTACGCGTTGGCTTCCTGGTGGTCCTCGCGGTGCTCCAGCTCCTGACGGAACTTGCGTGTCGCTGCCAGGGTACGCGTGAGGTACTCCAGGTTGCGCTGCTGCTCCAGACCTGACGGTGGGGTGGCAGCCCATGCAGATGATGAGGATGAAGGTCTAGCGTTGGCATTGTTCTGTCCCATGGCGGTCTCGGCAGCTGCCTCGGCCACAGCATGGCCATCGTGTCCGTGCCCCGCGGTGGCGGCTGCTGCTGTCGCCCCGTCAATCGACGCCGACGACCTCTTCTCCGACCAGCTTTCGGCCCGAGACCTCAGTGCTGTGGGCAGGAATGACGACAGCGACGGCGAGCTTGGTGAGAGGGGTGGCCGGTTGCGCGGGGGGAGCGGAGGTAGCATGCACGGGCTCAGACGATACTTCATCCACTCCTGCGGGTTGAAAAAGTCAATGGGATAAGACTCCTGCGTCTTCTTGTCGATGAAGCAGAAGCCGTCCTCGGGAAGAAAGACAAACGATGTCCGCATGCTAAAGTTGACCCTAGCCGACAGAAGTTTCTCGTTGAGCAGAACCACATCGCCATTGCGTATCGGCCCTAGGATGTTGATGCATCGGATTGGCGTTCCTGCGTACAAGACACCCGAGAACAGTTCCGGTCGCTGGTTGACGGCGTGTCGAGTGATGACGCCACCCAGGCTGTGCGCGATAACCAATGCACCCCGCGCTCCCGGCTCCGTGATACCACCTGGCTGATTGGACGGTAGCGTCTCAAGGAATTCACGTAGTTTGCGTGACAGGATGGCCGGGCTGAGACGCCAGTCGTATCCGTAGTTCCACACGCGCAGCTTGCCCTTGCGAGCATTCTCGCAGTGCTGGAGCTTTCGGATCAGCTTTCGCGAGATATCAATCGGACCGACATTGGTGAGCATGCCTGAAGGGATGATCGTCTCCTCCATGCGCTCCTCATCCTCGTCGTCTAGACCAACCTCGAGATTGACCTTACGCATGTTGAAGCCCAGCTTTACAGGGGCCCAGACCTGCTGGTGCGGCGGTTGCGCCGACCGCAGCACAGACCCGCGGAAGCCGCCCATGACTACTACGTCTCCCGTCAGCTCCTGTAGCGCAATGTCCAGATCGCTGGCACCGCTCTTTGTGAACCCGCTGCTCGATTCTCGATCCAAGCCAGCTGAGCGGGGTCCATCGGGTCCGTCATGAGGCGGGACCGAGTTCATTGAGATAAAGGAGGGGGTGTGTATCTTCATCTTGAAATTTGACACATCCGGGAGACTCTCCTTCACGGCCTGGAAGCGCAGGTTAACCATCTCTCTCACATCAGAAAACTTCTCGCTATCATTGAGTGAGGATGCCCTAGACAGGCTGTGGTATAGCATGCTCTCATCCGACGTAGCACGACGTAGCATGGGCGGGCGGACTGCGGGGGCGGTGCCGGAATGTCTCGAATGGATAGATGCCGATCGTTTCGGGGGGCCTGGCCGGTTGATCTGCGACTGCGACTTGCCTACCCCGCCGGTGACGCTCCCTTGACGGACGTCGCTGACTGGGGCTAAAGGACTGGATATGCGCTTCGTGGAGGCCGCCGTCTCACTGGGCTTATCAGTAGTGGGGGATGAAGAGGGCGAGGAGGAAAAGAATGACGAAGGCAGGGACGGTAGAAGATGAGAAGGTGCACTAAAGGACGGCAGAGCCTTCTGAAGCCTCTTGAGGGCCTCCTGGCCGGCTGACCGCGAACGATTCCTTGTGGGGGAAAATGCCGCTTCCAGAACACCTCGGGCAGGGAGTAGACGGCTGTATCTTTGACTGTGTGTGCTTTCCTTGGGCAGGGGAAAAGTCCTGGCCGCAGGGCCGACATGCCATGGGGAGGGTAGGTCGGGACGGGACGGGGTTTGACCGGAAGATGGCAGCCGACCCAGGGACATGGGCCGGGATCTGGGGGTAGTCGTCTGGGGTGACTTCTGGACAGTGCTTTGTCCTCGACGCACTTCGTCGAAGGCGGTGGCAGATGAGGCGCCGGGGAGTTTTCTAGAGGCGGGTTCGGTATCTTCGGCATCGGCATCGTCACCGTCGGGTCCCGTCGTGTCAAACATGTAGTCCTTGACCGACTTATCCAGTGCGGCGGCCTTTACAGCCGCAGGAGTGTGAGTTGATGTGAGATGGATGGCCGCAGCGCTCATGGCCGGTTGCAAGACAGCCTGGGCGTCATCTTGATCCTCGACAGCATCCTGATCCTCGATAGCGTCCTGATCGGGAGACAGGTTGGCATCGTCATCGGTGCTATCATGAGCAAAATGGCCGTCTACAGGACTCTCGGGCAGGACATTGAGCATGGAGCTCTGCTGACGGCGCCCACTGGCCGATCGGCTGCTGACGGCGGCGGGTGCGGTGGCCAGCTCGGTCGGTTTGCCAGAGCTCGCGAAGGTGGCGCTCATAGTAGTGATCTCAGACGACTCCAGCGAATGCAGGTGATCGAGATAAGAAAGGAAAACAAGCTCAGAGGAAGCAGTGGAGTGTTATTTGATCAAATTTCACCGGACCATCTAAGGGCCGTGGCGTCGCGCGAGGTCGAGCCAGGACGGTAGACCATTTACTGATTACAAGAGCGTGTGGGGGCGTGTCGGGGTGGGTGCGTGGCTTGGCATAAGTCTTGCGCGGTTCGAAGCATGTGATAGAGGTTCGTAGAAATGGGACGATAGTATTCTCGGAAAAACGTGTTATCCCCGGAGAAGGCGTGAGCTTGACACTATCGATCCGAGCAAAGAAGTGTGCGGGTGATAACTTGTTGGGGGCAAAGTCAAAAGAATCTCGGGCGGCAACTTGAGGAGTTGTTCGTTTCATCGGATGCGTCGTCGGCTGGATTGGAGGCGGTATTTGTAGGACGGGCACCGGCCAGGGTCAAGGAATCTTCGGACCAAAGCGCGAATGATGCGAAGCAAGAGAATAAGCCTACTCCGTTAGGAATGGAACCCCGAAGTAATATTGCTTTTTACCTGCAGCTTCAATGTATCCAATTGATGTGATTCTCCTAGGATCCAGTCATGATATGGACCCTCCCACTTGTTCGTTGGTCACTGTGAGTCTATAGCCCGAAGGTTCCGGAGGATGTATTAGTCCTTGGGAGGGTCTTTTTCCAATTCTCACTCAGCATGCAGTGCCCCAGCCGCCAGATGCCTGGGCCACAAAGACTTGCGTAGTCATGAATCTACGGTCGTTGTTGTGGTCACAGAGCTCCTGCTTTTTCTGCTTGTGTGACGTCGTATATTCCTTCACAGGTACGAAGCACTAATCGTTGTTGCTTATGCTTATTCTGTTTTCCCAGTCAAGGCGAAGAAAGCAAAGCAACAACAGTGCTCTGTACAAAGACCTAGGCTGTGTGGGGTTGCGCGTGATCGATCGACAGTTAGCGGTACGTGTGGCTTAGAGCTAACCCTTGCGTTTGAAAAGGGAAAACGACTGTCAGAATTACCATCGAAACACACTTCCCCAGATGGGAATAGGTGAAGTGAATAACGATGTCGTCAAGGATCTGCAGTCGTGCAGACGGCACAGCAGGGCGCTGCTGAGTGGTGGCATGGCTGTTGAAACGGCGGTGATCGGCGGTCACGGCACGGAGCCATGGATCCGCTTTGTACGCCGTGCCTGGCCCCCAGGCTCTTGGGAGGCAGCTGGTAGTACTGCTGATGGGTTCATTTTGAAAAGTGAGAGTACCGGAGATGAGAGAGTGTAGGTGGGGTAAATGAAGAGAACGGTGACGGGACTTTCGGGATCTCCCTTTATATTCAGAATGGCAATTGGCACACAAAAGGCAGGAGTGACCATCCATCCATTCCTGCCTTCGCCCCTCAACCAACAGCCACTCACTCTACGGAGTATTAATTCATGTTAGTACCTTCGTCAACTGCCAGCTGCTCCTTCCTCCGCACGCACCCCGCTTTACAATTCCCATTGGGCAGAATCCTTCACCGCCCTCTGAGGCTCAACGTGTGGTCTTGGAGCCTTGCCTCTCTCTCTCTCTCTCGCGGCGATGGAACAACTCTCCCCTCCCTTTTGACATTGGTACTACACCCCATTACCAAGTCATTGGATCCCTCTTTCCCCCCCTCTCCATGGAATCATTCCACTCGAAGTAGGAGGAGAAACCAAACGAAACGGAACGAACCCCCATTTTCCATAACCTCGTCGTCACCATGTCGACCCTCGAGCCGCGACCAGCCTACACAGACGCCGAGCTGGCCCAGCTATATCCGGCCCAGCTCCAGCTCCAGCTCGTCCAGATCCTCCTCCGCCACGGCGAGCGGACGCCTGTGACGCCGCGGTTCCAGAACACGGGCCTGCCGGCCTTCTGGCCCTACTGCACCGTGGCCCGCCACCTGCGTAGTGCGGTGCTGGACCCGGACACGTCTGGCTCCTCGGTCGACCCCAAATTCTCGACGCTGGCATGGCAGCGGCGCGTAGAGACGTTTGGGCGCAACGACGCCCCCGTGGTGGCTGTGGGGCCCCGGTCCGAGCTCGACTCCATCTGCGACCTAGGCATGTTGACGGACCGGGGTCGCGAGACCACGACGGCCCTCGGCCGCCGCTTGCGCCACCTGTATGTCGACCGGTTGGGGTTCCTCCCGCCGGCCATCAACGACGACACAGCCGCGTCGCTATACCTGCGCGCCACGCCCATCCCGCGCGCCCTCGAGTCCCTCCAGCAGACGCTGCACGGGCTGTACCCGTCGCACACGCGCGCGGCCGACTTGGCGCCCCTCACCATCCTGGGCCGTAACATGAACGACGAGACCCTGTTCCCCAACGAGGGCACGTGCCGCCGCTTCGCCGCCCTGGCACGCGCCTTTGCCGACCGCACCGCCCAACGCTGGAACTCGTCCGACGACATGGCCTACCTGACCCGCAAGCTGGGCAGGTACATGGACCCGGCCAACCCGGTCGTCGCCGTCGATGGCCACCCGCGCCTCAGCGGCATCATGGACTCGATGAATGCCACGGCCGCACACGGCCCCGAGACCCGCCTCCCCCGCGAGTTCTACGATCCCGAGGTCAAGCGCATCATCGAGACCATCGGCGTGGAGGAGTGGTACTCTGGCTACCGCGAGAGCCAGGAGTACCGCGCCTTGGGCATCGGCGGCCTCCTGGGCGACATTGTCAGCCGCATGGTCGCCAGCGCCGACGGCGTCGATACCAACTCGCCCTCCCGCCCCGGCTCCTCGGGCATCCGCTTTGGCCTCAGCGGCTGCCACGACACCACCCTCGCTGGCGTCCTTGCCTCCCTCGGCGCCTTCGGCAACGACAAGTGGCCCCCCTTCACCAGCCACGTCGCCCTCGAGCTCTTCCGACATGCCGGCAAGCCCGCCCCTTCATACCCCTCCCGCTCCTCCTCCGCCTCGTCCTGGCTACCCTCCTTCCTTGGCGGAACCAGCTCCGCCTCATCCTCCCCTTATACCTCCTCGGTCGGGAGCAACGGTGCCCTAGCCGCAAAGAGGACCCCCGACCTCTCCGACGCGGACCGCGCCCGTCTGGACGGCTACTACGTCCGCATCCGCTACAACGATCAGCCCGTTACCATTCCCGGCTGCAAGGTTGCTGGGAACCATTTGCCCGGTGATGAATCCTTTTGCACTTTGGTGAGTTTTGCTCCGTCCCGTTTCTAGTTTTTTTTCCCTCCCCCCTTCTTTTTTCTTTCGTTCCTTTCCATCTCATTTCCTTCCCTTTTAATTCCCTGTTCTGTACCTTTCTTACTAACAAAAACCACCAGACCGCATTCAAATCCATCGTAGACAAATTCACCCCTACAGATTGGAAGCGTCAGTGCCGTTCAAATCACGACGCTCCTGCTTTCCCCGCCAAGATTGAACCATCCGGTTTCTAGAAATCTACTGTACTCTCCCTCCCTCACTCTGTCACTCTCTGTCTATCCCGATATTTCCCCCCCGTTTCACATTGTTCTGTTTCACAAAAGATATATATATCTGCTCTTTCTGTATTAGATGGGACAGATGCATCATCATAGAACTTGAGGCATCGAAGCAAAAACAATTGACATGTATTGTCATTCCAAGCAAAATCACTACCATCACCAAGGCAAGACCAAGTTTAAAATGTTCAAGACTGAACAAACGTAGGCATATATTACATGTCAACTCCATAAGCCTGAGAGCAAGAAAACAGTACACTTTTTTTTTCTGTTCGGTGCATGTCACCACTGAATATATCACTCATATCGTTGACTACTCCCACTCCCGATCAACGACACACATCCCTGTTTTTGCTTTTTAAATATCTTGTGCTGCGTCGGCGCTCTTCCCGTTCCAATGAGAAAAAAGAAAAAGAAAAAAAGAGAGAAGAAAGGTTATAAAAAAAGGAAGACCAATTGTACAATGAAGGGCAACAATAAACTACTACTTCAAAAAAAAGAAAAATGAAGAAAAAGGTGAAAAAAGCAACAGAAAAAAAAGAGACGAATAAAGAGTTCTTAGGCATCAGACCGGCACCTGCCGAATCGTCGTTTGCCACTATTACAACAGAGTAGATGAATTTCAATCCTGTTCTTGTTTTTATCCCTCATTGGTCATGCCACGGCGTCCCAATCTTCTCTCCTCGTCATTAGTTGGCAACTTCCTCCTCGACCCATCCGTTCAGACCGCCCTGAATGGCAAGTCCGAATCCTCCTCCGAAGCTCGACTGGTACTGGTGGCCACGGCGCTGGGTTTCGTTCTCGCTGCCGTTGCTTCCGTGTAGGCTGCTGGGGCTGTTCCCGCCATTCTCGAATCCGGGGGCGAGTACGGGAAGGCTGACAGCTCGGTTGTGCTGTCCCCGAGGGTTGCCGGGGGCCAGGAGGCCGCCAATCGTCGTCGGACCTGAGACGCCGTTGCTCGTGGAGAGGCCGTTGGAGATGCTGGCAGATTGGCCGTGGCCGCCGCCCACAGGGACCGCCTGGGGGCCGTCAATTCCGAGGTCGCTGGGCGATTGCTGGGCGGTGCCGAACAGGGCACTCTGCTGGGCGGCGAGCTGCTGCTGCTGCTGCTGCTGGGCCTGCTGCGACAGCTGGTTCAGATACATGGTAAGCGGGTTACTCTGGGCAGCAAAGGTGGCAGAGTTCTGGCCATTGGCGGGGGACCCGCCACTCTGAGAGCCCTGGGAGCCTCCCTGGGGAGGCGGCGATGTGTTGCCATCACCACGGGGCGACTGGTGGGCCTGGCGAGGGGCGTTGCCGCAGCGGTCTTTGCCAAAGTTGACCTTGAACTTCTTGTACTCCTCTCTGCCGCGAATGGCCTCGATAGCTTTTATGGCGTTGGCAATGTTGGTAAAGTTGACAAAGGCACAGCTCTTCTCACGCAGCGCGTTGACGAGCTCAATCTCGCCAAACTCGGCAAAGTCCTGGCGCAGACGTTCCTCGTTCCACGTCTCGTCCAGGTTGCCGACGTAGACATTTCGCGACGCACCGCCGCTAACGGCCATGGCGATTGCGGGGGGCAGAGCACCCGAGTGCTTGCCCCAACCAATCTTCAGGCGGCGGTTATGGATCATGAGGCCCTGTAGGTTGCTGAGGGCGTAGAAGGAGGCGGCGGCTGTGGGGTCGATGAAGGTGACGAAGCAAATGTGCTTATCGGGGATGTAACGGATGTGGTGCAGCAGGCCGCCGCGGACGACGTTGCAAATCTCCTCAATCGTCGTCTCGGGGTGGATGTTGCCCAGGTAGATGGTGCGGTTGCCGAGGTTGTTGATGCCTCCGGCAGTAGTGGAGACGGCTGCGGCTGCGACCGACTGCTGAGCCAGCGCGCTGGAGATTAGGTCGCGGTCGGCACCTGTCAGCATGTGGGCGTATCCCGGAGAGATGCCCAAGTACTGAGCGGCGTTTTGCTGCTGCGTTTTGGAAACGTAGGCACAGCGGTCCTTGCCGTAGTAGACACGGCGCGGGGCCTGCCACTTGGGCTCCTGGGGCAGCTGGCCGACAGCCTTGATGGCGTTGGCGATGGACAGGTAGTGGACAAAAGCAATGTTCTTTTCACGAACCAGCTTGACCGTGTCGATGGCGCCAAACTTGCCCATGTCCTCGCGAATCTCGTCTTCGGTGGTCTCCTCGGCGAGATTTCCGAGGTAGACGTTTCGGGAGGCGCCCGACTGCTGGACGGCCAGGGCGACCGAGGTGGGGACCTGAGACGGCTTGCCCCAACCCACCTTGATGTCCTGGCCCTTGATGCATAGCTTCTTCAAGATGGCATCCGAATGGAAGTGGGTGGCAGAGCTAGCGTCGAGGAAAGAGATGAAGGCGCAGTTCTTGTCGGGGAGAAGGCGGACCGACTCGATCTGCCCACTCCTGACGTGGCCTAGTATCTCCTCGGCGGTCGTGTCCGGAGGGATGTTGCCGAGGTAGACGGTGCGACTGGTACCGGTAATGGCAGCCGAGTTCATGGGCACCGGTGAGCCGGGTTGCATGGGGCTGGGGATGCTGTAGTTGCCGGGAGGGGACTGAGAGGGAGGGTAGAACTGGGGGGCGCCGTAGGTGGAAGGGGAAACCATGGCCTGGTAGGAGGGAGAGATTCCTGGCTGGATGGGGCTGCCCATGGAGCCAGGCTGGCCCTGGCCACCATGCTGACCTTGGCCATGACCCTGCTGGTGCTGCTGGGCCTGCTGGAAGCCGGAGAGGTTCTGGAACTGAGGGCTACCAAAAGCACCGGGGGAACCAGGCTGGAAGGGGCTGCCGAGGAGCAGTTGGGAGGGGAGAAGAGGGGTGAACTGCATGTCGAAGGCGGTGCCAGGGGTGGCCATCTCGGTGCCGGCGGTAGGGGGCATAGTCTGCGCCTGGTTCATGGTCTGGGTGTTGAGAGTAGGAACATTGGCACGGCGAGGGTGACGGTCGGCGAAGCCCGAGACGTTCGAGGTGAAGGCGCCGTGGGAGAAGCCGGTGTCGCTGTTGGAGGGCTTGGAGGCGTGGCCGAAGCGGCTACCATTACTGTGGCCCCTCTGGCCGACAGCACCGTTGAGATCCTGCATGGCGAGAAGGTGAGGGGGGACGTTGGAGTCCCGCCCGACGTGTGATAGGACAGCCGTTGTGAAGAGACAGGCGTGCCTTTCGAGCAGGCACGTTTACACGAGCAGATTTAGTAGGCTTGGTGAGTTGTCCAATCCGATCGAGCGTGGCGCGGCTGGTGCGTTGTACCGAGCTTGTGCTGTATCGAGGTCGAATCCAAGCTGCCAGGGATGAAATTGTTTCCCGGAAAAGTAAATAAAAATGTTTTATGGTCGTCCGCGGCGACAGCGTGTTTATGAAGAGAAGGAAGTAGTGGTAATCGGATACAGATGTATAAAAGAATACGGCCGTCGAGGAGCAAAAAAAGTCTTTCGTAGAGGGGGGTGGGAAAAAAGGAGTCGACACGAGGCGGAATGAAGAGGATGGGTATCGACTAGCCGGTGCTGGAGAAAAAAACGCGTCGTCGGGAAATTATAAGAAGAAAACGAAGCGAAAAAGAGCACAGAAAGATATGCTGTAGCGAATGTAGGTTGAAAAGAAAGAGAGAAAAAAGCAGCCCGAAGAGATATGGCCCGAGGGTGGGATATTATGAGGCCTCGGCGGCGCTGTCCGGACCTACGAGTTTGTAGGAAACAATAAAAAGGTTAGGTACAGCTGAGACCACAAGAAAGGACTGAAGTAAGGATAGGATGAATGGCGTGAGGCCAGCAGAAGTCAGGAAAGTAGGGGAGAAACAGAAGAGAGTGTGAGAGAGCGTGTGCCCGTCGTGGAGACAATGCTCAGGGGGGGGCGTGAGGTGTAGGCGGTGGTGGGGAGGAGCAACACCGCCGCCAAGGAAGGGTAATAACAAGAGATGGAACAGAGTAGGCGTAGAGGAGTGGAGCAGAGAAAGCGAGAGAGTGAGAGAAGGGACTTACAGCAAAGAAGAAAAACTTGTCGAGAATATAGTATGGTAAGCTCACCAGAAACGCATAGACACCAACACAGGTGAGGGAGAGTGCTTGGGAAAGTGCTTAGGAATCCAAGACTCCTTCAATATGGCTTCTTCACTCGTAGGGGAAGACAGGGAAGCGAAGCAGGAGGAGGTCAAGAACGAGACAAAAGGGAAAGGACCGAGAAAGCAAGAGTGAGAGAGAGACTCCTCTAGGCCCCTAACTAGGGAAAGGATTGGTGTAGGGAGAGGGAAACGGGCTATTGTGGACGGGCCACCCACGCCAGAACAGGGAAGCGGAGAAGGGGAGGTCGAGAAAAAAAGGGAAGGGTGCAAATGATACCAGTTTACTCGTACTCCAGTTCTCCAAGAGGGTCAGAGACAGAAATGGTACCTTTCCCTTCCGAGAGCCAATGCGCGCACGTACACACACGCACACATAATACACACACAAGCACTAGGCGTCTAGAAAGGAAGAGAGACAGGAAGAAGAAAAAAGATACGACACGGGGTTTACAAGTAGACGCGAGCGCGTGACAAAGCTATCTGTCGGTATCAGCAAATGGCGAAATGAATACCGTACTCGTAGATAGAGAGATAGCGACCAATTCAACAACGAAGATAATACAACGAAAATGACCTGAAAAGATTATTGAAATGAAATGAAGCCGAAAAGGATGAAGCAAGGGCAATTTAGAAAGGATTGGGGAAGAAAGGAATGAAGGAGGTATTATTATGCCCGGGGGTAATAGGAAAGTTGGATTGTGAGAGTCGACCCTGAAGTGGAGGAAGGAGAGATTTTCGGGGTGGGACACACCTCGATTGGGGGGGAAGGCAAAGAAAATAAAAATAATAATACAATAATAAAATAAAAGGGAACAGGGGGAAGGAGCGCGCAACCGCCAAGGCAGGAGCAACACACTCAGTAGGCGATTGCCCGAAATGGAACGTGGACGGAATTGCCTACGTTGTAGTTTAATGACCGACAGGGGTCAGATGCTTTCTTGGAGGACTGGCAGTGGTAATGCTACTAACTGCATATGCACATGTACAGGCTGTATAACCCCGTAGAGGGCTACTACGTGTGATAATAATACTGAAGAGGAGGGTACGGAGTAGATTTCGCCCTGATGGCGCTGATGAGATGCTCGTACTGGTGGTATTGAACACCCGTACAAGTACGAGTACAGCTTTACAGGTAATATTAATACTCGTACCCGTCATGTTTCTTACTCGTACGGAGTCAGTCGTACCTGATATCACTGTACCTGTCCACTGCACCGTACCTGCCTCCAACGGTGGACCCCCCTTTCCGTTCCCTCCCAATATGGATCATCACGATTGATTGGTCTATGAGTGGCACCTCGTTTCGGCAGCCGGGGGGGGAGAGGGAAAGAACGCCCATTGTCTCTTTCCACAAGTCAACTGTTTAGATCGCTAGGACAGGCGAGGGGAGTCGGAAGGGGATCGAAAGAAGTCAGAACATCTCAACTCGTACATGTACGGAGTAATAATAGCCGCCCCCCCCCCCCCCCTATTGAGAGAATGTGTACGACATTAGTCAATAACAATAGCCGACTACTCCATCGTACTCGTAAAGTACTAATAATACTAACCTAACTTGGTCGCACACACACACGCACACACATGCGAGTACTCGTACACACATACACACATACACACATACACACATACATATATATATATATACGTATATTATGCAGACTCGTACCAGAGAGAGAGAAAAATAGTCGCCATATTGAATATTGAAATTAATTGCCCAACGTCCAAGCCAGTGGATCTATGGCAACCCCCGTATTACGGGCAGGCCTGTTCCGTTAACTGCCATCACTATTATTACGGGTATATGTGATCTGTACTCCGTGCATGTATCTACACTAATAATACTATTTTCTATCATCTGTACACCTCCTCAAGACCAGTGATTTGCGTTTGCATAATGCAGATGAGTATTATTAGGTGCATGTGTAATTACGATGCACATTAATACTGTACACTTACATAGTAGGTATGTACGGTCTTGGCTCTCGTACCTGATCGTACCGGAGATCAAAAGCATGGTGTCAATTTATGAAACATTCAATTCATTCTGTGTCCTGTGCTCGTACCAGACATGTCTATTTTTTCCCCTCTCTCTTCCTCTTCCCCTTCCTTTTTCTCTCTTTTCTTCCCATCTCGCGAAAGTCCATGAATGATGATTGTCACAGTCGTCCCGAACACGATCATCACCATGTTGAAGGCATTCATGCATATACCGACACCATTCCGGATCCTGAGAGGCCCTGTCGCTTTGGCTCTTGGTCCCTTGGACGTGAAATTGACCAAAGGGCAGTTCGTCCTTTGCTATACAATACGAGGTCTGGACCCAGACCTGGACCCTTGGGTCCTGGATTTCACCCGGCCCCCTGACTTGTTGGGTAATACTCATCATCCGTACAGTATCCGTACTCGTCGTGTCTGTATTGCAATCCTCGTAATGTCAATACTCCAAATATGTATCCTCCCTCTATCCGTCCCCTTCTCATCCTGTCAGCCAGTCTGCCCAGGTAATACTTGTAGGCACAACTACTCGTGCGTGTGTATGTACAGCATATGCATACATGCAAAGGGGTCCGAACCATCATCGGCATCGAATCGGAGGCTGACGAATTCGACAGGAAGTGGGGTTACTGCAAAAGTGACATTTCATGATTTGGGACATAATATTGCTCCGTAGACTGTATTCGTACGGGTAGAGACAAGACTGATGACTCTCGACTTGTTGTCTTTGTCTTGCATGGCCTTAGTGTTGACCAGCAATGTGAGGCAGTGCAAAACAGTATGGTACCATCTACAGATTGCATATAGGCAAGCCACTCTGCATGCCATAATCATTTATGCATCTCATTTCTCGGCCAAGCTTACGGGTAGTACGGATACTAGCCTACCATTGGTAAATGCGCTTCTCATGCTTCTCCAGGCTTCGATACCAGAAATGATTTTTTTTTTTCTTTTCAACTTCTTCAAGATCTTCATGTTACGCCACACTTAAAGCCACATGGGGGGGGGGGGGGGGGGGGGGGTGTTTCAATTGTTTTCATTGCTTTTACTTCTCTTTTACTACCAGCCACATAAAAAAAGGGAGATCCTTTACCAATAGCTAACATTTCATTGCTTCGCCCCTGCCTTTGACATCAACATTACGGTTTGCAACGTCCCATGAAGCGGGGATACAGGCATGTCGTGCGCACAGTGTGCTGGTTGGCCATCCAGGCCAGAAATCGCTCCAGGCCAAGTCCGTATCCTCCGTGAGGAGAGGTACCGTACCTGTGTTTTTTTGTCTGTCAGTCTGACCGTATTCCAAGCAAGATTATATACAGGAACGAACGAAAGAGAGCCCAAGACAAGAAAGAGAGAGAGAAGAGAAACTCACTTGCGCTGGTCAGTGTACCAGTAGTAGTCCTTTGCCGGGATACCCTGCTTCTCGTAGGCGGCCAGCAGCTCCTCGTAACCCTCCATCCTCATGGAGCCTCCGACAATCTCGCCCACGCCGGGCATGAGACAGTCGACGCTCTCGGTGACGCGCAGGTCGTTGGGGTCCTTCTTCATGTAAAAGGCCTTGATCTCGACGGGAAAGTGGGTGAGGAAGATGGGGAGGTTGATGGCGTCCGTCATGCGGCGTTCGGCCGCCTCGGCGATGTCGTCGCCAAATACGTGGAGGTTGCCCTCCTCGTTGAGGATGGGGGGGTCCTGCTTGTTGAGCCAGTCGATGGCGTCGCTGTACTTCATGCGCATAAAGGGACGCTGGGGTTTGACGAAGCCGGGGTTGAGCTCCTTGAGGAAGGCCGCCGTGGCCGGGTCATCGAGGACGGCGTCGATGACGCGGCATATGACCTCCTCGAGGTGCTCGAGTAAGTCGTCAAACGTGATAAAGTCCAGCTCGGCCTCGACGTGCGTGTACTCGGACAGGTGGCGGCGCGTCAGCGACTTCTCGGCGCGGAACGACTTCTCGATGCAGTATACGTTGCCCAGGCTAGGCAGCACCGTCTCAAGGTACAGCTGCGACGACTGCGTCAGGTAGGCCTTCTCGTCGTAGTAGGGTACGCTGAAGAGGGTGGCTCCGCCCTCGACCTGCGTCTGCACAAGCGCCGGCGGCGCCACCTTGACAATCTTCATATCGTGGTACGTCTTGGTGAAGGCCCACTCCGTCTGCGCGCGCAGCTTCATCAGCGCCGCTGCGTGGTCTCCGCGCAGCACCAGGTGGCGGTTGTCCAGCATGGACGTGTCCCACTGGTTCTGGGCGTGCGACACCTTGTTGGTGATGGCGTCGTCGTCGCTAGGCGAGCGGCCGATGACCTGGTAATAGTCGACGTGCAGTTCGCGGCCGTCAGGCGCCTGCTGGCCCTCGGGCACCTTGCGCAGCTCCCCGTACAGCGTGAGCGACGTGCCCTGGGCGAAGACGAGCGCGTCGTACGTCTTGGTCAGGTCGCCCTGCTGCAGGATGCACTGCAGGTGTCCGTAGCCGTCGATGAGGGTGATGAAGGTGGCCTGCTTCTGCGGCCTGAGGCGGTGGATGCGGCCCGACACCTTGACGCGTGTGCCCTTCTTGTCGCCCTCGCCCAGCTCGACATCCTTGTCGGCCAGAGTGATCTTGACGGCCTTGGGGAGGCTCTCGTCTTCCTTGAGCACAATCTTCTTGGCATTCTCCAGCGTCTGCAGGCGCTGCCTCTTCTTCTCGTCCTCGGCGGCCTGGGCCTGCTGCTGCTTGGCCAGCTTCTTCTTGTGGGCCTCGACGCCGGACTGGGCCTTCTTGACCGATCCCTTGCCAGGCTCCTTCCACACCAGACGGGCCGAGGGGTCCTCGCCGGCCGCGAGGGGTCCCGTGACTGACGACCTCGTCAGGTACGAGGGGGCGGCCGGCTGGTCGAGGTGCTGGATATAGGCAAAGGCCAGCGTCTTGTAGGGCTTGGCCTCGGAGCCATCGGCGGCCGCCACGTCGTCAACGCCGGTGTCGGTATCAATGTAGCATTTGGAGTCGTCCTTGACGCGCTCGGCGAGTTCCTGGACGGCAGCCATGGGATGTGGCCGTTGGTCGTCGAGTTTTATGTGTGTTCTGTGATGCCTACTAACTAGTACTGTGTGAGGGTTTCGCGGGGTCGATTGGGGTGGGTTGAGGCAAAGGTTGAGAAAAAACACGGTGGGGGAGGGGAGGGGAGCTGATAAGTTCCGATAGAGACCTGATAAGTGGACAGAGGTGGAGTATGACTCTTAAGGCAGCCGATGACGGGGTGCAAGAGCGTGGGATGAATACAGCCGCTCCCCAAAAAAATCTCAGCAGCAATGCACAACTGCCCTGCAAGGTTGGCGAACATCCATGATCAGGCCCTGGATCTGAAAAGCTCCGTATGAAGAGTGCAATACTGCGCATAACAACAAAGCAGAGCCCGGCCAGACCAAGGGGGGGCGTGATGCATGTGCCGTGGAGTTTATCTGTACCCCAAGTCCGCCCGGCCAATGCGAACATGCGGTTTGCTGAGTGGCATGATAAAAGGATTCGATTTCCGGGGATGTGTTGGCTTTTCTCTGCTCTCGACGCCTAATGCGTCATGGCAAGTTTGTTCGTTTTATACCTACGAGTATTCCTACTACCATGTGATGATGCATGAAACGTATTGATTTTCAAAGGGATTCAGCTACTGGGTAAGACGGTCTTATTAGGAGAGGAAATACGTTGAGTCAAGGTCACACTCACATATCGGCAATGTGATCTGGCAACAGCGGTGACGATAAGACGCTTCAACGCCAAATATCGACAGGAATCAAGGAGACGCAGCGTTAGTCCATGGTTGGAAGACTGATGAATACTACTGCTCCGCTCGCACATCGTCCATTTTTATTTGATATTTTTGAGCGTATCGGCGTAGGGAAAAGTCTACAACGATGCTCCTGGAGAACCCGAAGCCCGAGATGGCTTGAACGAGAGGCCTAGGAGGGCAGTGGATGTGACAGTCCTCGTTGGGATCAGGGATGGCGACGATGTCGCCTCCGTCAGGCTGCAAGACGAACACGTAGATTCCGGGACAGAGAGATGCGCCTATGGTGGAAGGAGCAGCTGTCGTCGAGAGAGGCGGATATTGATGCGGCGGCCGTTACAAGGGGCAATCATCCTCGCACCTTCATGGTGTATATTGACATCGAACTTCGGCATGGACTATGGTGGTTGTGGAAAATCCGCGTCCTTGTCATTGATATTTATCACGTCAAGGGAGATTCACGGTGTCGGGAAAAGCTGCCGTGTTTGGGCGAATTCGATCAACATGTTGATACTGGCTTGGAGAAGAATAGGACAAGATCAGAGGCGCAGCCATTCTGTCACACTTACCTACATGTATTTCCCACAGAGATGCGGTGAATCATTGCCCAGATCATGTACCAATATAGCGCACGTGTCCGAAAAGAATTGAGAAACGATCAGAAGCTACGTCACGCACACTTGGAGCTTGACTACTCATCAAATCATCAAATCATCGCTCTATTCCACATCATCATGACCGACCCGTCGTTCAACCAAACCCCCCTTTCCTTCCCGAGACGCACAATCCCCCAGTTTCCATTTCCCATTTACAGCTCATCCCTCGAGACGCCGCCGTCGCCCTCCTTGCCCATGTGCTCGAGGCCCTTCTTGACCATGGAGCTGATGAGCTCGTAGGCAACCTGGGCGGCAGCGAGCGACGTCTCCTCCCCGGCGTTCTGGTAGGCGGGGGAGACCTCAACGACATCGGCGCCGACTATGTTGAGCCCCTCGATGCCCCTCAGGACGCGGATGAGCTCGCGCGTCGTCCAGCCCCCGGGCTCCGGGGTGCCAGTGCCGGGGGCGAAGGCCGGGTCGAGCACGTCGATGTCGACGGACAGGTAGACGGGTTCCTCGGTGCCCAGAGTCTCCATGATGCCCTTGATGATGCCGGCCGTGCCGATCTCATCCATATCGTCGGCCGAGAATCGGACCCAGTTCTGCGCCGAGTCGTCGTCGTGGTCCTCCCACCCCGTACCACTGAGACGCGTACGCAGGCCGGCGTGCACAGACCGCTGAGACGAGCTGTTTGACAGGAGCCCTTCCTGGTTGGCCATCCAGAACATGGAGCCGTGGTTGAACTGTGTCGCCCCCCAGTATGACGGGTAGGCGTTGGGGTTCCAGGTGTCGAGGTGAGCTAAGGTCATCACGTCAGCTTCTTCTCCTTCCTCTTCTTTTCTTTCCTCTGCTTTGTTTTCTCGCTCCCTCAAGAATAACCAAAGAGAGAGATGGAAGATTGAGAAAAAGCCATACCGTCAAAGTGAAGGACCTGTATCGGCCTTCTATAAATCTTGTTGAGAGCACGCAAAGCAGGAAGAGTGAGACTATGATCGCCCCCGAGAGTCATGAGCTTGGGTTTGGGACTCAAGGCGGAGATGCTCTTGTGGGAGCCCAGCTCGGTGAGGGCCTGCGTCATCTGCTCCCTGGCAATATCGTTATCGAAGGGAGTGACGGGGACGTCGCCGCAGTCGATGACGCGAGCCCAGTTCTGGTACGGGTTGATGTTGGCCCTCGGGTTGAAGCCGCGGAAGCTCGTCTGTCTGGACGATGCCTGACGGATGGCACGGGGGCCGAATCTTGCGCCTTGGGGTGTTCATGTCAGCCTCAGGTCACACATGGCAAGTGCTGCGTTGCTTCGGGTGTTCCTTCTACTCACCAGGCCGATAACTGACGGCCGTGTCAAACGGTACGCCTACAATGGCAATGTCAAACTGCTCCTCCGGGTTGGTCAAGCACTTGACATGGGGAAGATGGGCGAATGTAGCGATGCCGCTGAAGGACCACTGCATTTCATGTCAGTAATTCGTCTCTCATCTTCTATCTCTCTCTCTTCTTTCACAACGCTTCCACTCTCACCCTGTCTCTCTGTTCCCCTCATATCTTTCTCCCCCCCCTCCCTCTGTACCTCCCCGGCTCATCCCAACGTACCTCATGTCCCCATTTCCTCTCCAGCTCATCCAATTCCTCCTTTGTCCAAACTTTATCGTCGTCGTGATGATGTCCACAGCCAGATGACAGACCAGCCAGTAGCACGGCGGCATTAGCAATGTTGGATATTTTCATCTTTCCTGCTTTCTTTCTTCTCTCTTTCTCTCTCTCTCTCTCTCTCTCTCTCTTTTATTGTCAATCTTTCAATCCTTATTTCCTCTATCCATTAAACAAAAATAAGAAGAAAGAGGGGGAAAATGACCAAGAGCTCCCAAAATTTCTGTCGGCTTCAATATATGCGCAATCGGCAAGTCGTCCAATGTGGGGTGACTGACCCACTTGGCCCATGGCCGCCGCCATTGACAATTACCAGTCTGGAAAGGGCGTCGGCATTGACACTCACGAGTCGAAGATAAGGATCGCGCATCACTAGCAGTACGAGTAGGGAGTACATGGACATTGCCCAATTCCTATCACTACTCGTACAGATACCGCATGTATATCTCACTACTCAGTACAGGATACCGCTACGCAAGTAGGCGCTTCAAGTCGTACATTAGATAGCGCTAGTTGATACGACCATCCCTCTCCTTCCATCTTCTCCCCGAAGCATCCTCTCCCCCTACCAGAACTACAGTAGCACTCATCTCTTCTAGCCCTTTGAGAATAAGAAATAAACTCTTTACGAGAGAGTACATCATACACGTAAAAAAGACACCGAGAATCCATTACCAAACGCATACATCCCCAGATACCCCAGTGCATCGCAAGTCCACCGGCCGTCAAACCCCGCTCTACTACTCGTACATCGATGACTAATACTATGACTACCAGCTGCTACTAATGTGCAGTACGAGTACATATACCCAGTAACACTATACCCGTACATCGTATCTGGAAGTCCCTATGACTAAGGACTTGGGGGAGATGGAGGGGAAAAAAGATCATTGTTTTCTGTTCTTGCTCGCATTGCACTCCAATCGCCGAAAGAAAATAATAAAAAGGAATATAAAGAAAAATGGCAAGGAAAAGGGGGAGAGGCAGTTCCTATCGAAGCTGAATGATTCTTCCTCTTCATCCCCTTGTCTTCGTAGCTCGTCTCTCTAGAGCATCTCCCAACGAGTCCATCTCCTCCTCACTCTTTGACCCCTCCCCCACATCTGAAACAAGTGGGAATAGAATAAAGTAGAATAAAAAAGAACCAGATGTAAAATAGTAACAAGAAACCCAACGGAAAGACATAGAAAACGAGATGGGGCTGAGAAAGATAAAGAGGGGGGGAAAGAACAACCAACACTTTAGATCTTTGGACTGCGGAAAGAGGTCCGAGAAGTGGAAAGGGGGTGAGGAAAGGGCGAGATAAGAGGAGCGATTAGCAAAAGATTCAATTCTGCCCCTCGTCAAGAGGGTGCAAAAGATTGCCCTTCTCTCTTCTGTTTCTCTCAACCTGAGCGAGGGCTGAAATACGACCCTCCCCCTCATAATTTTCCAATCGCCTCATTTTCAGAGAAGGGGAAAGATGAGCTCTCCACAGGAGAAGCGCCCGTTCTGTTGCTGTGACACCCGTGTCTTTGTTTGCTCCAGTTTGGGGGGGAGGGGGGTTTGTGTTTGTATCGTGCATTGTGTTGTTGTTGTCGTTGTTGTTGTTGTTGTTGTTGTTGTTGTTGTTGTTGTTGTTGTTGTTGTTGTTGTTGTTGTCGTTGTTGTTGTTGTTGTTGTTGTTGTTGTTGTTGTTGTTGTTGTTGTTGTTGTTGTTGTTGTTGTTGTTGTCGTCGTCGTGTGTCGTTGTGTTATGTGTACCGAGCCGTCGAGGCCCTTGGGGTTTCCCGTCTTGATGTTCTATCAGATTCAAACTCCTGCTTCCAACTTTGCTCGCTACTAGAGCGCCCCAGTGCGGCTTGCTTGGTGCCTTGGCCAATTTGCCAAGCCTCTGACCGCACTCTCCCCTGAATTCCGCGACGGATTTAGAGGATCAGGCACTTGTGGGACTTTTTCTTGGGCGCCGGCGGCTCCAGAGCGGCGACGATGGCCTGTATTCCAGTCAATGTGTCAGTTCAAGGTACCAAGTGAGCAACTGTCTGGTAGAGGTCAAGGAGAGAACATACCTCGTCAAAAACGTCCTTGAGCTTGTACTGGGTAAGAGCACTGCATTCAACGTACTTGACAGCACCTAGCTCCTTGGCCATGCGCTCTCCATCCTCCCTGCGCACGGGGGCCATCTTCTGCTTAGCCAGCTTTTCCCTAACTCCTTGGTCGTCGCGCAGGTCGACCTGGGTACCGACAATGAGGCAGGGGACGCCGGGGCAGTGGTGGTGGACCTCAGGAAACCACTTCTCGCGAACATTTTCAAACGAGGCGGGCGAGGTGACGCTGAAGCAGACGAGGAAGACGTCGGTCTGGGGGTAAGAGAGGGGTCGGAGCCTGTCGTAGTCTTCTTGACCGGCTGTATCGAAGAGTCCGAGGGTGTAGGGTTCATCACCAATCCTGTTCTCGCATGTCAGCCCCGAACCCAGGTATCCCACCGGCGTAGTCTAGACACAGTCCAGAACCGGGCAGGCATGGAAAAGAAGAAAATGGCCTACATAACGGTAACGGCATAGTTGTCGAAGACGGTCGGGACGTATTCCGAGGGAAACTTGTTGGTAGTGTAGCTGATGAGGAGACATGTCTTGCCCACAGCACCGTCACCGACGACAACGCACCTGGAAATTGGAGGTCAGCCTTGAATCAATATAAATGAGCCGGCAGGCAGCAGCATGAAGGAGGCCAGAGGAGGTGGCGATGCCTGTCCGACGATATCCAGAGCACACCGCTGTGCGCCAACAATCGGTGTGCGACGTGGGCAAAGGGGGGGAGGAGCAGGTCAGGTATGGCAAAGCCCAAGTGCAGAGGTAGAAGGGTAGAGTAGAGGGCAAGATGCAGAGCAACGTACTTGATGGTTGCGACAACAGCCATTGCTAGAGATCGAGTCTTGTTGCCCGTTGGGTGTGTGCGCGGGGAGAAGCTTCGTGTGGTGTTGTGGTGCGGGAAGAGATGCAAGTAGCAGAAGCGAGAGAAAATAGGAACCGGGCTTATCGCGGGTAAGGGACGAAAAAATAGGGACTGCCGATGACGTTGGATTGATCAAAGCTTTTGGGAATACGGCCTAGGCAATAGGCAAAAAAGATTGCTTCCAGTCTCTCTGGTGAAGCGCAACTGTAGGTGATGCAACAACACACACACACACGCAGTCCTGGACCTGAGCACGCAAAAGGGCAGAGACAAGCAGGCGGTCGGTCGTGAAGGGGGGGGTTAAGGGAAAAGAAGGCGGCGAGCGGCGGCGGCGGGCGCAGTTGATTCGTTTTACGGGGCAGCAGCACCAGCAGCAGTAGCAGCGGCGGCAGTGTTAGTAGTAGCAGTAGCAAGCACACAGGCGGCGGTGGCCCGGCGACGATGTGGGGKGGGGGGGGGGGGTAAGGKGATGATGGCGAAGATGTTGACGATGGGGGTATGGCTCAGGAAGTTCGAAGAAGAGAAAGTAGAAAAGAGATCTACTAGAGGTAAGGGCTGTTCTGTTGCAGAGGCGATAATAGAGGGATGAATAATGGATTGAATAGGATGCAGGAAGAGGGATAGGGACTTCTGTGGTCGAGAGCACAATTGGGGGGGGGGGGGTGGGAGGACTAGGAGGACTGGGAGGGAACTAACTGGGAGAGTGATGAGTGGGTGTGATGGGACGGGTTTGGGAGTTGGTAGGCGGTAGGAGAGAGCTGGAGACCTCCGTAGAGAGCCTAGTGATAATACAGGTAGGTCCAGTAATAATGTACGAGTACGGGCTGGTTCTAGTGGACGGGTTGGCCCAGTGTATGGACTACAAGTACATGTACAAGTACGAGTATGTATGGAGTAATAATACAGCCAAGAAGGCATGGAGGAGACAGCTTAATAGAGCTAGAGTAGAGTCTAGAGCCTACATGTAGAGCTTAGAGTCTTGGAAGATGCCCGCAGGGTACTCGTACTCGTACCGCCTGTACGGAGTCGTACCCGCAATATCAGTCACTCTATCAGTGCAAATGGCAGTATCCGTGCGTCGAGTCGGATACAAGGGCATAGCAACGTACGTGTACTATAACACAGCTGTCCTTGCACCAGCATGTGTAGCACCATCACTGCCTTGATGAGGCTTGGGCTGTGAGACCCAGATACAAGTAATAGCACTCGCTACGTCGATGTACTCCGTACATGTATAAGTATTACGGAGCATCACAGTCTTGGCTCTTCTAAATTCACCACCATTAGCTAACCCGGACAGCTGCTCCAGCCCATCTCCCCCAGCAAGTTGCTCTCCCGCTTTAGCGTGCAGCACCGGATAAACCAGGGGCCAGGTGTTACAGGGATGTTACAGGAGGAGGGACCGCTCTGCTTGCGCTATAAGTTCGGGGTCGGGTTCAATCACGTCCGTCCTGGGTCAGGCAACTTGGAAGGAGGGTCAATGGAAGCCTCGTGTTACAAGTATCCTACGTGGTACCTCTCGTACGGGCTTAGCTACTGTTAGTATGATTGCACCGTATGAGAACTGAATAATAGTGATACCCTGGATAGTTGTAGTAGTAGAAGTACATAATATAGGCTGTATGGTCATGAATAATAGTACGCAGTGACAGCCCGTGGGTGATGCATGCGGTTACCATTCAACATGCCAAAGTTCGCCGGCGCGCGGCTAGTTGCTCGTAGCTATTCAGTCGGCCGCGTCATATCCCGTCAATGACCATCGCGTTTAATGTCTCAGTTAAAGAAAAATGAGGTAAATCCAGGTAAAGCCGGGTAGGGCATCACGCATACACGTATATGTGCATGTACTGATCACTGACTGAGAGTAGAATACGGAGCACAATGTATCCCCACGACTACCAAGCGATACCTGTACTACAGTATTATCTCTGACTGCGGATACAGCTAAATAACAGCATTACGATACTAGCTAGTATTATTACTTACTGGTGGTGTCATAGAGCACGTAATATCTTCCTAGCATTCACGTCCTCTTGCTTAAAAACGTTGTAGTTTCAATTTCTACGGCATGCTCAGACTGCAACAGCCCTGCATAATATTATGCACTTACTTAACAGAGGGGCAGGGTCCATCCCTCCTTCTTTCACGTTCCTCATCCCCGGGCGCTCCTTCCAAATTGGCAAAGCTCACAGCTTTTCTCTTCTCTCTCTTCCTCCCGCTCCCCCCAAGGGTCCCCAAGGGTCCCCAAGGGCCTCACTTCACCCACCTCTTCTCTATAATCGCTCTCCTATTCTTCCCCTTGATCCTTGAACCCCTTGGATCTTCCCTCCCCCTTGTACGGTACTTGTATGGCTATGTGGAACCAACCGCTGATACAAGACCACACAATGCCAAATGAACAGACGACGACGGCAACAACAAGCGACGGCAAACCACTGCCCGTCTCCCCTACCAACGGTAGCCCCAATCTCCATTCAGGTTTCTCGGACCCTCGAGACCTCGGCTTGGTTGAATGTCAACTCACCATGGGCCACGACAGTCTGGGTCTGGGGCCATCCCAGCCCAGTCAGTCCAGCCCTCTCAGCCTTCGCACCCACTCCATCGGCCTCCGTCTCATTTCCCTGACTGGTTCCCTCGGTTGGAGGGGACCCCCCTCCCCGGCCCGCCCCAGGCGCGTCGCATCCCCTGTCAGGAAAAAAAAAAAGAAGAAAAGCCAAAGGCCTGGTGAGAGGAAGGGGGCGAGGAGCAAAAAAAAAAATCACATATGTGCCAATCTCCCAGGGCCAGCGCGGCCAGCACTCGTCGAGCCGCGAGCGTCAGAGTCAGTCGAGCTTGCTATCAAGCTTACCACCGTACCATCCTTCACCAGCTAATAATACAGGCTACAGGTACATGTACAGGTGATGATACTCGTAGTGGTGCGTGCTGATACGCGAGCAGTGCGCTACGACGGTCGAGTACGTAATACTCAAAAGCCTGAAGACTACCACTGGCAACTGCCAACTGCACTGCACGCACGCGGCACGGCACACTCGAGACGACCTGTCACGCCATTGCCCCTGCCCACACGTGGTTTCCGGGTTATTCAACCGCGATTATTACAGGGCCGTGAATGAAACATCGGTTATCCTTCTACCGACCTTTGTGAGTGTCATGCCCCTTATCATCTACGGAGCACGCGGTACGGAGTAGGAATACCCCTATTATCCGTGCTTACCAGTGGCTTTCCTTGCTTTCCTTATTTTATTTTATAGAAATCACTGCAGAAACGAACTTGCTGCTCAAAAGGGCAATCGTGTCTACACGCACCTGCTACGAATATCGTTGCGCTCTACATTGCGTTAGAGGTGTTGGTTGCTATTGGTATCACGACGGCCCAGCTAAACTCGCAGCACGACAAACACCATGGGACAAGTGTGTACAACCACCTGTAAAACTTCTACGAGTAGTGTTACTGCTCGTATGGAGTGACTGTGCTTGTACGGAGTCCTTGGCGATCCCATGCATCTCGGCCGTTTGTCTACGGTATTCGTGCCAGTACTCGCTGTTGCTGTTCTCCATCAGGACCCAACTGATATTGCCATGATACCTGTACTCGTACACCAAAATTCTCTCCCCCCCGCCACGTCACCCGGCTGTCCATCACATATTACATTATACTTGTTCGTTTCCTGTCTCCCCGCCTCTTTTTTTTCTGCGAGACGGGAACATGCCCAACTCGAAGGTACCTGACCCCTCATGCATGCGACCCGGGTTTCTAAGGTATCCCGGCTGGGTTGTCTTGTCGCCTATACGGTATACCGCGTAATTGATCAGCCCAAAGCTTGCTGAGTCTAGGTAGAAATTTGTGGTGACGTTCTAGAACTTTGAGGGGGCTGAGAGGAGGAAGGAAAGAAAGAAAGGAAAGTAGAACGGTGAAGCTGAGATGGTCCAGAACTGTATTGGCAGAACACAATTGAGCTTGTAGCAATTCATTTGGTGTTTGCCATATACTATTCGGTGATGTAATATCATTGAGTACTTGAGGCTGTCGGCTTACACAAACATGCTTATTTTTACCAACTGCACAAATGGATGGCATGTCCAACCGAGCACAGACAATTATACTCCGTACCTTGCAAAAGAAAGAGGTAACAATATCCAATTAGTCATCTAAATGTGATTATTTTGCTCGATATCAGACACAGAACCTGTCTTGCTTTGGTTGCAGACGAAGAAAAAAGTTCACGTATCTGTAGAGGCAAAAGAAAAGTGCCAGGTCCCGGGTTAGGGAACATTCCACACCAACCTTTTTTTTTTGCCCACAACTTCCATCGAAACATACACCCCTCAGAGACAGGCACGTAATACCACGGCAACGCATCATGACAGACAAGGACCATGACCACGACTCAGTAATCGACGCCCTGCTAGAGCGCTACCTCATCTTATTAGACGAGTACACCACTTTGCGCTCGCGTCTCGTCCGCCTCCAGTCGTCGGTGCACCAGAGCATCGCGCGGGCCAACTTCTCGGCCGAGAGGGGTCTGCGATACGGCCAGGACCAGTACGATGGTCGGATGAAGGCCTCTCGCGTGCTGGAGATTGAGGGGTTGGATGGCGATGCTGCTCAGGTCCCGAGCTTCAAGGCAGTCAAGGTGAAAGAGGAGGCGGAGCAGCAGCAGGCAGAAGGAAGCAAGCAAGAGGGGGAGGAGAAAGAGGCAGAGGAGGAGGAGGACAGGAGGAAGAAGAAAAATACCTCCAACAACCCGCTACGGTGGTTTGGCGTACTGACACCCATGCCACTACGTGACGCGCAGGCACGGTCCATCGAGGCGGTGGACCAGGTCATCCCCCAGCTCGTCAGCTTGTCGGCCGAGATGTCCAGTCTGGAGATTCAAGTCCGCAGGGCACGCAAGAAGAGGGCCAAGGCCATCAGCACTGCGACCACATCTACCAAGGACGACAGCAACAGCAACAGCAACAGCAACAGCAACAGCCAGACGACAATTCAGGCATGAAAGCATCATCAATTCACGTAAAAGGGGATTTCCTCTACTTCAAATAACCCTAAAGTTTATTCAGACTCTCCGCCATGGTTGGATGCGCATACACGTTCCCCTCGAGATCCCACCATCTCAATCCGCCCATCATGGCCGTCTGCACGAGCGACATGATCTCCCCGCCCTCGATACTCAGACAAGTGAAGCCCAGGATCTCGCCCGTCTGGTCGTCCATGCTAACCTTCATCATGCCTCGACCCTCAGCCGTCTCCGCCGCCCTGGTGACGCACGACATTGGCATGACGGCCGTCCTGAAGCCACGCCCGCCGTCGGCCAGAAGATCCCTCCCGTGTAGACCTACGTGCGCCAGCTGCGGGTCCGTAAATGCCACGTCTGGCGTCAGGTTGCGTGAACGGGATGATTGAGCTGTCATCCTCGTCCTTGTCGTCGAAGGCTTGGTGATGTCCAGGAGATTGGCGTGGATGATGCGCGAGTCGTCGTACGACATGTGTGTAAATGCCGGCCCGCCAAGAACGTCCCCGGGGGCGCACACACCCTCCGCGCTTGTCTGGAGTTTGTCGTCGACGATGATGTGGCCCCGGGCCGTGGCCCTGACGCCCGCCGCCTCGAGGCTGAGCATGTCCGTGTTGGGAACGTGGCCTATCGCCAGGAGCAGATGTGTACCCTTGACCGTCTCCCCACCGTCGAGCTGCATCTCCAAAGAGGAGGTCGCCGTCTCCTCATTACCGTTTCTGTTAAGACGAGGAAGAATCATCCGCCATCGTGGGTGTGGGCGTGGGTGTGGGCGTGATGCCCCCCACGCCACTGCCGATGCCGGTCCTGTACCAGTATCCCGCGCAGACACTCGGCCACGTCCCCATCCTCACGGTGTATGAGCTGCCCGCCCCTCTGGACTATGGTGCCGCGCGCCCCAAGACGCCGAAACAGCTGCGCGAACTCGACGCCCACCGGCCCGCCGCCCACGACGACAAGATGCCCCGGCACGCTATCCAGCTCCATGGCTGAGGTCGAGTCGAGCACGCGCGTCGCGTCAACCCCCTCGAGACCCGGAATGTCCGGACGGAAAGGTCTCTCACCAGTCGACACAAACACAACGTCACCGGCCAACACCTCCCTCCTCTCCTCCCTCTTCTTCTTCCCGCCAGAGATCGTCGTCGTCATCGCTTCTACCTCCCTGAGTCCCATGAACCTGGCCTCCCCCATGGCCACGCAAACAGAGGCATCCTCTAACCCGCGCGCCATTCCGCCGCTCCACGACTTGACAATGTCCCTCTTGCGCTGCTGGACCCCTCCCCATGCCTACCATCAAGTTGCCCATCACGGTCTCCAGGACGCCGTACTCCCCGCCCCTTTGGACCATGTGCGCTGCGCGACCGGATGATATCATCGTCTTGGTAGGCGTGCAGCCCGTGTTGATGCACGTCAAGTTCAGCGCGGTGCGCTCTACCATGGCTGTCGTCTTGCCTGCTGCTGCAAAGGCCTTGGCTAGGGTGTTGTTGACGCCTTGGTCAGATCCCAGGAAGAGCGCGTTGTATTGTGTCACTATATCTGCAGGACCTCCTATATGTAATATAGAGAGTAATGAGGAGACAACAGCAACAGGGGAAAAAAAAGGAAGTATTACAACACATTGTCAGACTTGTATTGGCTTTTGTATGTTTACACACACACACCTCTGAACATTACATGGCATGTGAATATCCCCGAGCTTCTCATTTTTACTGTGCTGAATAGATGATTAATCTTGTGATGTCAGTGTAAGGGGTGGAGCTAGGCTGAGCTGGTGCAATTGTTTTGTATGGCCGGATTTAAAAATCCATAGGCCACAATCACAGGCTGGCCAGCGTTGTGAGAACATCGTCCATCTCCTCCTTCAACTGATCACCTTCATCCAAGGTGGCTGCCAGACGGTGGGCGATGCCTGAGACAGCACTGACGGAGTGTGTGTACCTCCTCCGCATGCCTTGGCTGGCGCCCACGAGGATGGAGCTGCAGAGCTGTAGGACGGCAATGACAAATCTGCGACCCTCCACCTGGAGCGTGCGGTTCTCGTCCAGATCCCACGCTGCCACGGCGGTGATGAGGTCCATCCACTCCTCTGCCGTGCCGGCGCGCTGCTGCTCCACAATCGGCAGGAGCACGCGGACAGTGTCCGTGCCGCGGGTTATCTCGACCTGCTGGCCCAGGCGGGTGGGATCTCGTACGGTTTCGACGAGGTCCCTGCTGAGCGTCTTCCAACCGTCGTGGCTCAGTAGGATCTCGCGCCCCTGATCCAGCGTCACGAGGGCTTCCAGGGCTACGAGGACGGGGGACCGAAAGTCGATACCCTGGGATGCACCCGACTGGTAGAGCTCCGTGAGCATGTCGATCAGACCGGTGGCCTCTTGCCTGAGGTCGTCGTTCTCATCCTCACGTAGCCACAGGCTCAGGCAGCGTAGTGACGAGAGCGTCAGGGGATCCTGGTCGACCCTGTTCTTCATGGAGTCCCAGGCCAGGCTGTGGTAAGATCCCGTCGCCGTCTCGGTGGTGGAGGTTCGAGCCTCGGTGTGGAGACCCATGGCGCCAGCGACGGAGCTGTCCCACCTGTCTCTGAGGTACTCGGTTGTGACGGACATGGTCTCGGATATGCTGCTCCTCAGCTTCAGCAGGCTGTCTGGCGGCATGGGCATGGGCCTGTCATCGTCCAGACATCGCACTAGAAACCCGATGAACATAGCGATGACATCATAAGCAGATGCTAGCCGTCGTGCGGTTCCGGCATACTCGGGACTGTTGAGCTGCTCAAGGATCATGGGCGTCGAAGAGCGTATGTCAATGAGGAGGAGATTTATGAGGAGGAAACCAAAGGGCTTCTCACTCTTGTGGTCTCCGGTGAAGAGCGCATCGGCAGCCTCTTTAGGGTAGACCTGGAGGAGAGAAGCAGAGAAGTTTGTGTAGGCAGCTCTGGCTTCTGGAGTTGGTCGGCTGATCACAAGGTTTCTTACGTGGTTAACGGTAGGTTTGAGCCACAGAGATGGAGCTGGTATAATCTGTCGAGACCCGTTAGCCACGACTTCGCATGCTTGAAGACCATGATGCTCACCTCTTTGTCTGCCTGTCGCAAAAGGTCGCCCAAGAAATCAAGAAGCGTGACGGCGTCTGTGCCGGTAAATGACGGCACTAATATCTTGAGAGTCTTGCTGATGCTCTCCGAGAGGGTTCGTTTGGGCAGAGAGCCCCCCATTGCGTGGAGCCAGGCGTAGCGGAGGACATCGAGAGCAAGGGGATTTGAAGGGGCGATTTCAGTGAGCGGACTGATATCGTCGACCTTTATGAAAGACTCTGCACCTGCCCGTGTGCTGGCAAGTGTGTTTAGGAGCTGTAGAATGAGAAGAGTTGTTTCCGGGGAGCTGCTTGGTGTTAGCCATGTGGCCACCCATATCGGATGCTACTACTAGTAGTAATTCAAGTGGCCATACGCACCTCTGAAGAAGCGCCGAGATGAGGAGCGGCACTCTTCCAGGAAACTTGGCATTTTCTAGCGAATCTGGAGGCAGGAGAAGGCCAAATGTGTGCAGGACTGAGACGGCCAGGTTGAGCATCTCACCGGCGTCTTTACCTTTGGCGGACGATGCAGACCCGGTCCTTAGTAGGCGATCGAGGAACTTGGGCGAGATGCAGGCCCAGAGGTCCTGGACGGCCACATGGTTCTGACGGAGCTCAGGTGAGTTGTCAAGGACCGATTTGAGGATTGCGAGGCCGACGAATCTCTGGGTATCATCCCTGGCCCGGAGCAGGGACTTTACCCTGTCGAGGTTGGCAGCGTCCCCTCCTTGGCGCTGGGTGCTGGTTGCTGGCTCAGCCATGGCAGGTCGGATCAGAGGAACATGAAGAGGTCAGTATAAGTGAATAGTATTCCCGAGAGGAAATATTGGTAGTCCAGAGGAATTCCGTTTCTCCTTTACTTTTTCATCAATGTTTAGTAAAAATATATATATATATGATGGTCCCAGATATTGGCAATTGCTAGAGGCAGGACAGTGATGTATCTTTTTGTTTTGTTTTTTTGTCTGTTTTGTGTTTACGAGAATAGCCTGCACCAACTGCGGCAGGTGCAAAGGGCAGCACCGAACCGCACCGCACCTTCCTCTAGGCTCGTTGAGACGCCACGCCAAAACACCCTAAAGTACAGATTACTCCGTACGAGTACGATAGTACAGGAGGTAGAAAAAGTGTCTTATCGCATGAGACGATAAGCAGGTACCAGAAACTTGCAGCGTACCGTTTCATGGATCGCATGCCGCATTACAGCGCATATAGGGCCCGAGGGAAGGCCTATATTCGCTAACAGACTGCCTGGAGGCTGTACGGAGTACATATGCATCATGATAATAGCTACAGATACAGAATAACAGTTATCTCTCCAGTAACTGTACTCTACTCCCTACAGCTCATGGTTACAGTGGATTCAATATACCTACAACAGTGAAGAATGCCAATGATTACGGGATTGATCAGCCAGGACACGTCTTTTGTAGCGAGTAATATCCCACCATGAGTCTCTACGAGTGCCATATTACTACTAGGACGTAATACATTATCAGCGAGAGAAAGAGAAACACCAAAAGTGCAGCATCGCCACATCCATCTCCTGCGCCATAACGAAAAGAAAAAGAGAAAAAAAAATGGAATAAAAGGGGCACAAGCACCCTCTCATCATGCCTGTCGCCCCCCAAAACAAGACGACTGCCTTCGCTCCAGCCTCCGCCTCCGCCTCCGCCTCCTCCTCTCCTCCCTCTCCCATCGGGGCCAACACGCCCACCCACTCCGACGACCGGGATGACGACGACGAGCTAGACTTGCTGGATGGCGAGGCCGCCGACCCCAACCGCCAGCGCCGCCACGACGTCCTCGACGATGACCCCCTACACTCTGATCTGAGAACGCCCATGTCGTTCAAGCGCAGTCACAAGCGAGGATCCTCATTCCTATCCCTCGGGCGCAATATCTGGTCCTCCCTGCGCGGCGGAGAAGGCGGCCCCGGCTCGTCGGCGCGCATCGTCGGCAGCAGCAGCGGCGGCGGCGGCGACAACTATGATGACGATGAGAACGACCACATCCCGGACGCAAACCATCTAAGCGCCATTGGAAACAGCAACGGCTCGTCCAAGTATGATGCTCCACTCGACTGGTACATTGAGGGTCCCGGGCGGCGCGTCGGCTACGAGGACTTGACGGCCATCGACTGGATCTTTGAGTACAACAAGGAGCGCCAGCGTATACGGTCCCTGGCACCCGACACTGGCGGCGGCGGCGGTGGTGTCGTTGGAACCTTTCGCCACCTCGTTGACGCAAGCCAGATCTGGATCATCATCCTCCTCACGGGTCTGTCTGTCGGCGCCCTCGCTGCCATCATCGACATATCCACCGATTGGCTCGGCGATCTCAAGGAGGGCTACTGCTCCAGCGGTCCCGAGGGCGGCAAGTTCTACCTCAACAAGCGCTTCTGCTGCTTCGGTTACGACCAGGGGTCCAAGTGTCTGGGCTGGAGGACCTGGGGAGAGACCCTGGGCGCCCATAGCGTGGGTCTCAAGTGGATTATCGGATACATATTCTACACCATCTTCTCTGTGCGGTCACAGCCCAATTCTTGCTCCTTTCCTCCTCTCCCATTTGATCGCGCCAGCTAATGTGAGCCGCGATGTAGGTGACGCTTGCTTCGACCGCAGCTATTCTGGTTCAAGAGTATGCCCCCTACGCGAAACACAGCGGTATCCCTGAAATCAAGACTGTCTTGGGAGGCTTCGTCATGAAGCGCTTCCTTGGCCTCTGGACACTGGTAATCAAGTCGTTTGGTCTGGTACGTTAAGATACCCGTGGGCAACCCCCCCCCCCCGGGGTGGGGAAGAAAAAAGAAAGGAAGGAAAAAGACTGTATTCTCTAACATCATCTTTTAGGTCCTGGCCGTGGCATCGGGCATGTGGCTAGGCAAGGAAGGTCCGCTGGTGCACGTCGCGTGCTGCTGCGCCAACATCTTCAGCAAGCCCTTCCCTAGCATCAGCGGCAACGAGGCGCGCAAGCGCGAGGTGCTATCGGCGGCGGCGGCGTCGGGCATATCGGTGGCGTTCGGGTCGCCGATCGGCGGCGTACTGTTCAGCCTGGAGCAGCTGTCGTACTACTTTCCGGACAAGACGATGTGGCAGAGCTTCGTGTGCGCCATGACGGCGGCGGTTTCGCTGCAGGCGCTGGACCCGTTCCGGTCGGGCAAGCTGGTGCTGTACCAGACCAAGTTCAGCACGGACTGGCATGGCTTCGAGATCATCCCGTACGCGCTACTGGGAGTGCTGGGTGGGGTGTATGGCGGCCTCTTCATCCGGGCCAACATGGCGGTGGCGCGGTTCAAGAAGACGACGTCGTGGCTGCCGACGCCGCTGGTGCAGGTGGTGGTGGTGGCACTGCTGTCGGCCGTTATCAACTACCCCAACTTCTACATGAAAATCCAGACGACGGGCCTCGTGTCCAACCTGTTCACCGAGTGCTCGCAGCTCCCGGACGACCAGCTGGGTCTGTGCAGGACGGGCTTCGACTCGGCAGGCAACATCGTGCTGCTCCTGGTGGCGGCGCTGATCGGCTTCTTCCTGGCCGCCATCACCTTCGGGCTGGAGATACCGGCGGGCATCATCCTGCCGTCCATGGCGATCGGCGCGCTGGTCGGCCGCGCCGTCGGCATAGTCATGGAGATGTTGTACGACGCGTACCCGGACATGTTCCTCTTCCAGTCGTGCAGCCCGGACGTGGCGTGCGTGACGCCCGGACCGTACGCCATCATCGGCGCGGCCGCGGCCCTCGCGGGCGTCACGCGCATGACCGTGTCCATCGTCGTCATCATGTTCGAGCTGACGGGCGCCCTGACCTACGTCCTCCCCATCATGGTGGCCGTCATGATCTCCAAGTGGGTGGGCGACGCCTTCTCCCGCCGCGGCATCTACGAGTCATGGATCCACCTAAACGAGTACCCGTTCCTCGACAACGCCGACGAGACGACGACGACGGTGCCCGACGTCCCCGCCCTGCAGATCATGACGCGCATAGAGGACCTCGTTGTCCTCACCGCCACGGGCCACACCATGGCCTCGCTGACCGACGTGCTCGAGTCCCACCCCCACCGGGGCTTCCCCGTCGTCTCCGACGCCCGCGACGCCGTCCTCCTGGGCTACATCTCTCGCGCTGAGTTGAGCTACAACGTCCACGCCGCCTCCCGCCCGCCGCGCTCCCTCCCGCCCGACACCGAGGCCTTCTTCTCCCATCAGCCCCTCGCCGACCCCCGCTCCACCCTCGACCTCCGCCCCTGGATGGACCACACCCCCATCACCATGTCATCCCGCACCCCGCTGCACCTCGTCGTCTCGTACTTCCAGAGGCTGGGTCTGCGCTACGTCCTCTTCTCCGACAAGGGCGTCCTCCAGGGCCTGCTCACCAAGAAGGACATGTGGTACGTCCTCGACCACGGCGCCCAGGAGACTCGTCGCACCGCAGATGCCCCTGCCGGAGGTAACCATCCCGCCTCATCATCCGCCCCTGCCGCTTCTGTCAGTCTCGAAGATACTGAAGATGACGATGGCGCCGCCGAGGACATCAATCTTCTCAGTCATCGTGCTGATGATGATGGGGGACAGGATGCCCTTGGGATCGTGAGAAATTGAGCCTTCTCTTGTTCTTGTTCTTCCTGTCATTATGGCATGCACCGGTTTTTTTTTCCCTTCCTCTTCTTATTTTTTTTCTTGTCTCATTGGGATGACTCTAGAAATATAAAAGTGTAGTATACGACACCTGTGAGGTAAAAAAAGAAAAGCAGATATACAGATATATTTGTAGGTGATGCATGAAAACCAAACGCCCAATTCCCATTAAAATATCAAAATAGGCTTTTAATACAGGCATTAAAAAAGATGGGCATACCCCCCCCCCCCCCCCCCCCTAATACTCAAAATCGTCATCCACAGCGGGACCCTTGTTCTTGGTAATGCTCTCCTGCTTCCAGTACATCTCAGCGACCTGCCTGCTTGAGGTAGCCTCATCGGGCTTCTTGTCGTCCCTGAGCTTGATGAAGCGAGGGAAGCGCAGACTGATGCCCTTCGCATCCGGGCCACCACCGGCCGCCGGGTCGACGCCCTCTTTGCAGCCGGCCTTGTAGCGCGGCGACAGGGTCAGGTCGGCCGTCTTGACCTCCCACACGTAGCGGGGCTCGAACCACACGTCCGGCTGGTGCTGGTTGCCCGTCGAGTGGGAGTAGAAGGGTTTGGGGCGGTCGATGGTGATGGCCGATAGCTGGCCGTGCAGCTCCTCGAGGACCTGCTCCGAGAATCCAGTGCCGATGTTGCATACCGTCTCGTATGTGTCCGACGAGGCGTTGTAGCACGCTAGTAGGAAGGCGCCGTAGACTGATGTGCGTTTGCCCTTCCCGAAGTAGGCTCCTAGCACGACGAGGTCGAGGGAGTCGCCTACGCCTGAGAGGTAGTCTTTTTTTATCTGTGACATAGTCAGTACATTAGGAAGAGAGGGGGAACAGACAAGTTTCTCAACCTACCTTTAGCCAGTTTCGACTACGCTTGCTGGGCTCGTACCCGCTCTCATGGCCATCTAGCATCTTGACCATGAGACCCTCACACGAGGCCTTGACGCTCTCGTCGAGAAAGACCTGGATCTCATCGAGTTCCTGACCGTTCATGGACGTGGCGAAGGCAAACTCGCCCTCGACAGGGGCAAAGGCGTCATTGAGGAGTTGGCGCCTCTCGCGCAGCGGCTTCCGGACAACGGGCTCGCCGTTGAGGTAGAGCAGGTCAAAGGCGAAAACGCAGACTTTCACTTTCACGTCCTCGACCTTCACGTCCTTGCGCTTGCGCGTCATAAGCTGCTGGAAGGGCAGCACCTTCTTCTCCTCGACGTCCCAGGCCACCGTCTCGCAGTCGAGCACGAAGCTCTTGGTGTCGTCTTTGATCCACGTGTCCAGCTTGGCCAGCACGTCCGGGTACTTCTTGGACAAGTCCTCCGAGTTGCGAGAGAAGATGCTGGCCACGCCCCGGGCGGCCTCCTTGTTGGCGCCGGGGGCCGACTGGCTGAGCTCCTGCGGCGCATCCTTGGCGACGTAGTGGATCTGGGCGCGCTCACCGTCGTACTTATACTCGCACGTAAAGGTCTGACCCTCGAACCGGTCGAGCACCTCGGTGATGGCCTTGGTGGGCTTGGCGAGCATGGGCTTCAGGGGCACGCCGGGCTGGAGCTTGCACGTCTCCGACAGTTGGAGGATACCATTGGCCATCATGGCAGGGATGATGGCGTCGTAGCTGGGCAGCTCACTGTAGACCGCCTTGAGCATGGCCTCGCCCTGCTCCATGTCGGCGGTGCTGGGGGGCTTGCCCTTGGCGTCGGCCTCGTGGCAGACGGCCGCCTGCGCGAGCGAAACGAGCACGGTCCTCTCGGCCAGACCCAGGCGCAGCTTGCCTTCTAGGAAGCGCACAATGTACTTGGCCTCGCTAGGCCCGCCCTTGTCCTGGGTGATGTCGATCTTGCCGGTACCGTGGGCGTCAGCCGCCGAGAGCAGTTTCTTGATGCCGTCCACCTTGCGGCCCTGGGCCCCGTTGCCTGTCACGGTGGCAATGTCCATCAGGCCCTGGTGCACGCCACGCACCGTCAGGGCCTTGGGCTTGAACATGGTGGGCTGTGTCGACCTACTCTTGACCGCCACTAGCCCCAGGTCGCCAATCTCCTTCTGGTCCGACTTGATGACCTGCAGGCTGCGGCCCGTTGTCTCGCCGATGGCCTTCATGATGAGTGACTCGCCGATGCCTAGCTCGATGCCCGCGTAGTCGGGCGCTAGCTTGTTGATCATCAGCAGCACCGTCGGCAGCAGGTCATCGGGCGTCAGCCGCATCACCTGTCGCAGGAACAGCGAGCAGTGCTCCATGATGACGAGCCGCTTCGTCGTCATCTCGATGAGCGAGAACGTCTTGCACAAGGCCGCGTAAGGCACCGGCGTTCCTGCCTTCCAGTCGGGATATGGGTCCTCCTTGTGCTCGGATATCAGCTTGCTCTGCACCCTTTTCCGTGCCTTAGCCACTACCTCCTTCTTCTCGTCGTTGTCGTCATCGTCGTCCATCTCGGCTTCGGATGTAGACGATGAAGCCTCCACCTCGTCTGTATCCTTCGTCACCTCGACAGCAGTAGAAGCAGCCTCTTCTGTCTTGATCTTTGGAGAATCCGCCTTCTTGATCCTCGGAGAACTCGCCTTCTTGATCTTTGGGGATTTGCCATCCTTCTTGACGGGCACCTCGTCCTCATCTTCGTCCTCCTCTTCGACCTTGACACGATTCCTCCTAGCCCTCTTCGTCACCGGCGCAACATCTTCATCGTCTTCTTCTTCTACTTCCTTCTCCTTTGACTCATTCGTGTCTTTCGATTCGGCTCCGTTCTCTTGACGATGACGCTTCTTAGTCGCTGATTGTTTGTTGTCTCTGTCAGCTCATTCCCTTGTCACGCGTCCACACGTAATGTCTCTGGTGAGAAAGAGAGAGGACTCACAGTTGTGAGGATCCGAAATCTCTTTCTCCTCGACGTCTGCACCCGTCTCTTCCTTCTTGTTACGTCCCGCCTTGGTCGCGAACGATAGCTTTGTCTGCTGAGGCGGAGGGGCGCCCTTGGCACCGAAGAATTTGCTAAGTAATAGGTGATCAGCGTTGGAACCATTTTCAATCTACCCCTCTCTCTCTCTCTCTCTCTCTCTCTCTCTCTCTCTCTCCCACACACACACAGAGAAACACACACCCAATCGTGCTCTGAGTTGGCTTGACATACCCCAAAGTCGACTGCTTGGGCGCCATGACGACAGGTCGAGAAAGGGAGGAGGATGGGGAGCAGAATGACGAAATGCCCTTCTGTTGCTGCCGACAGAACAGGAAGAAGGAAGATGAAGAGGATGAGAGGAATGATATAAATCGAGACCCAAGATGACGAGAAATGTTAGGCACGGGCCTGATGCAATGTAGACGTAGACGATTCACGCTGATCATGGCGCGCGTTGCGCAGGCAGAAATCGCGTTAATTGGATCCTCTCTGCGCGTCGCTTGTAACGGGACATCTCCTGTGTGGGGAGGGAGAAGAACGCGCCCAAGACACGCCAGGCACGTGAGCTTGTTCCAGGCAGCCAACTCGACCATGACCATTATCTCAATCAGCATCATCACCAGCATTTCCTATTATCAACACTGTTCCGATACTACCTGGAATTTTCAGTGGTACTGGCCAAAGTTAGCACTGACAGTCAAGAGACAACCATATATGCGTAGACCAAGAGGAGAAGGAGAGAGATAAAATCACTTTATCACATCTTCCTAGGCTCGTCCGTTGATAGGAAAGAAAAAGACACCATGAAGGGCAAATAGATTACGACGACAACATCTTCTTTCAAGTTGTAAGATAGAAAAAGATGAGGAGCCAAGGCACAACAGGGAGAAAGGTAGAGAAAAGCAACCAATCCGAGGCAAGCCGTCCTGCTGACCCCTACCCCGAAAAAAAATATGTTTTCTGTTTCTTCTTTTGCACACGAGGAATACATAATCTTCTTTTTCCGCCCTCTACCTACAATCGAGTTATAGTACAAGAAAAAAAAGACAAGGGTGAGGAGACGGCAGTCAGGGAGGAAGCATGCTTCTCAATTACATGTGTGTGTGTGTGTGTGTGTGTGTGTGTGCGCGCGCGCGCGTGGGAGGGAGAGAAGGTAGAGAGGGAAGGCAGAGAGAGTACGCCATTGTTCACACAACGAGAAAGTGGCCAGAGAAACGAGTCAATCAGTCTAGAGAGTTGGGGTATGGAGCACCCCACGCCCAAGTCTAGTAGACGACTTACTTCTGGAAGTAGTAGTCCTCCTCGGGGACACGGCCGCGGATGAACTTGGGCTCGCTGCCGGGGACGTAGATGTCCTCGAAAAGGATGTTCATGGTGGGCTCCGGGGGGGCCATGGCCTCGGCGGCGGCGACCTCCTCGTTGACGTGGGCGCGGGCCTCCTTGTCGACCTTCTTGAGCTCCTCCTCGGTGTTGACGCCCCAGTCGAGGATCTTCTGCTTGAGTCCGGCAATGGGGTCGTTTGTAGAGCGCATGCGCTGGATCTCCTCGCGGGTACGGTACGTGGTTCCGGGGTCCGACATGGAGTGACCTCCGTAGCGGTAGGTGACGTACTCGAGAACCATGGGGCCCTTGTCCTCACCGGTCCACTGCTTGCCGTACTGGACGGCGGCCTTGACGGCAAGGACGTCCATGCCGTTAACCTTGAGGCCGGGGATGTACTGGCCACGCTTGTAGTACTCGGTCATGGCGGAGGAGCGGGCGGCCGAGGTGCCCATACCGTACTTGTTGTCTGTTACATGATACCAAGTGTTGTCAGCATCAGTTCAACGGAACGGGGTGACGATACCATAAAGAGAGGGCAGGCAAAACTCACTCTCGCAGCCGAACAGAGCAGGGAGGTTCCACAGCTTAGCCATGTTGAAGGCCTCAAAGACCTGGCCCTGGTTGCTGGCACCGTCACCGTACAGGATGACGGAGGCAGTCTTGCTGCCCTTGTACTTGTGGGCAAAGGCCAGGCCGGCACCGACGGGGACCTGGGCACCGACGATACCGTTGCCGCCGTAGAAGCCCTTGGAGAACATGTGCATAGAGCCGCCCTTTCCGTAGGCGATACCCTCACGGCGACCGAGCAGCTCGCCGATGATGGAGCGGACCGTAGCGCCGCGCATCAGGGCGTAACCGTGGCAGCGGTAGGCCGTGATGATGTCGTCCTCCTTGGTGAGGGCGTGCTCGATACCCGTGGCCACGGCCTCCTGTCCCGTCGACAGGTGGCAGAAACCGCGGATCTTCTTCTCCTTGTACAAACGGTCGGCCGCCATCTCCATCTGTCTGAGGGATTATCAGCATATTACCCCATTCTGTTTTTGTATCCATACCATCTCTCCTCTCTCCTCCCCCCGGAAAGGTTCGGAATCTTGACAACGTACCGGGTGACAACCATCTCGTAGTACATATCCCTGAGCTCCTTTTTGCTCACCTCAACCTCGTAAGGGGGCGGGTCAAGCTGGTACGTCTCGAAGCTCTCATCGGAGAGGGTAACGGTGAACTTTTCATCGTCGGCCTGTTGTCGAAAAGAGAGACAGGTCAGTATTTCAATTTATTCAATCCTCCTTTTTCGTATCACGTTGTCAAGACCAACCTCGGGAAGAGGGTGCTGCAGCACCGACGAAGAGGCAGCATTGGTCGTGACGGAACGCGAAGCCACAGCCACAAAGGGAGCGGGAGCCTTAGCACGCAGAGCAGACACCCTGGGAACGGCCGCCCTGCTAGGGGCACGAAGAGCTCTGGAGAACATTTTGTTTTTTTTTGTTTTCGTGCGGATTGTTGATATCCTCGGAACGCGGAATTGGG